TTGTAGGAGCCAATTACAGGGCCAGAAATCAACCTTTCTAAAGTGATTTGTCATGGGTGACAGCGATGCCATCTGCAAGGGGCAGCATCTGCCACAAAAGTGTGCCCTCATCTTCCCGCCCTGCCCTGGAGCTGCACAGTAACAGACTGAGGGCCTGATAAGAAGGGAATCACCCAGCCAGTGGGTCTAAAGACTCTTCCTAAAAGCATGGATAGAGTGTTTGTGCCCTTTGCCATGGGGCTCATGGGAACGCTCCATTGTTGGAGATGGCCTGGGATAATCCATCACCTCCGCCTGGAAAGCCAGCTGCAGCGCCCTTTCCTGGTGCTCAGCACACATCCTGCAGGTCTTTGCTTGTGGTGTGTCTCCTGGCTGCACTCGCCCCTGTCCCCTGCACAAAACTAGGCGCAGTGTAACATTTGTTCTCAGTGAGCACTGGTAGGAAAGAGACTAGGGTTTGGTCTCCACTTGGATAACACTTTAGGGATCACAAGATCCACCCTTGACTTCAAGGGTGGCCAGGGGCGACACTGACAATGGCCCCCAATTCCCAGGAAAGAACCCCGAGGTCCCCAACAGGAGCGACCCGCCCCCCCCGGGGTGGGCTGTTTCTCCCGCCCTGGGTGCAGGGACACATCTGCTTTGTTTGTATACTTGCTCGCCACATCACTAACCTACTTGGTGGCTCCTAGCCACACCTTTTGTTTTTCTTGCATTGAAGCCAATCCTTTCTGGTCTAGTGTTTCCATGGATTTTGTCTTTTACAGGTGGCTTATCCGGAATTTTTATGGAAACTGCTCTTTTCTGTTTATCTTGTTGGGTAAAACCAGTAGGTACAGGCGTGGTAGGCAAAATTTTCCATCCAAATGAGGACATGGCTGTCAGAAAGCAGCTAGATTTGTGGCTCTGAGAGGGGCTTTGATTCCTTAAGGAACTAAACTAGCAACTGTCCTGCAGTGAGGGAGGCGGCTGTCAAGTCAGCCATCGTTTCATCATTTCACCGTGCTGGTGGCTGACGCCGTGAGACAGGTTTTCCTGGGGCTGGAGGGTGGGTGGGATTGCAGGCGCAGGAAAGGGGATCTTCCCAGACCACACTCTCTTCCCTTCAGAATAGATAAAGGGACGCTGTCTGTACTCACCTTGGCGAGATAGTGGCACAGTGGATCTCCCTGTGAAGAAGGAGCCTGCTGCCAAAAAGGTCCAGTGGAGAGAGCCACTGGCATAGGTAAACTGAGTCAGCACTGCTGCTGTTCACCCTCAGAGTAGCCCCAGAGACCAGACTCCCGATAAGCTGCCTTTCCTTTGGTGGAGAGGAGGAGGTTTCAGCCAGAGAATCTTCTGATCTCCTCCCTCCCTCTGGGGCCAACAGGTACAGACGACTGGACTCTGCTCCTGTGCTGAGCAGTGTCTCTCTGGCCTCCTTGCTGGTGCTCTGAGCCAGCTCTTGGTGGACTCAGTGCTGGGTACCGGCAGGCGGCAAGACTGGGAGAGGTGGGGAAAGGGGAGACGTGTTCCGTCCACTGGGGTGCGCCTGGGTAAGGCCTCTCCCGGGTGTGGCTGCCCCAGGCTGGCCATGGCACCCTCCACGCCCATCCAGTGCGGGGTGAGCGAGCCTGTGAGTGACTCGTTAAGGGCCCTTTTCCCCACACCCCGCACCACAGAACCAGAGAACCTGCTGCAGGTGCTTCCGGCCCTCAGCTTCTCCTCTTAGAGCTGGAGAAGAGCCCCCAGCCTCCATCCAAACCTATTTTGGAGGCCAGAACCCTCAGACCTTGGGAAGGCTTGGATACTGAGGGGTCCTGACTGTTTCCCTGACCCCACTTTCTGGGCAGATCGTTGTCCGCTTTGACTTCACCCTAGTGTCAGCCTGTCATCCTAGGGTGCCATTTCCCTCCTCAGCACTAGAGCTCGTCCTTAGCCCACCTCTATACACAACAACACAGCACACACACACATGTGTATATACACACATGCACACACATGCTCATGTATGCATGAGCATGTAACACAACACCCATATGCATGTAACAACACACGCATATGCATGTGTACACATGCACTGTGCATATACATGCAGGCATGCACATATACACACACGTACAATGCAAAGTGTGTGTGCACACAGTATAGATGCATGCACGCATGTGCATACGTATACATACACACATGTTGTGCACACACAAGTGGGAGGAAAATGTCCCCTGCTCTCTGACTCACAGAATGATTAATTGTTTTAGCCAATCCACCCTTAGCACTGAGCAAAGCCTACTGGGCTCTCTGGAGCACACAGTGACCACACTGGTCAGATCACTTCCACAGCGTCCCACCCGCAGGAAAGAACCCTCGGCAGCTGACATGGTTTAGTGAGTGTGTTGCCAGTGACAGGAGCCAGGGCTGCCTTCCTGGAGGCCCCGGCAGAGCGCCCACAGGCAAGGAGCTCCTGACAGCCTGTGACGCATCTGCGCCTGCCTCTCACGGGGAAAAGTCATCTCTCTTTTTCTTTCCTTGGGCGATGATTTTTGCCAACTGATCAAAATTTGGTGCACAGCCTAAGTCCAGTGGCCAGTTTCCTTTACCTCCCAAGAATTCAAAGCACGGACCCCAGGCAACATGCGCCGTTAGCAGAGCTGTCAGGAGCCCGATGCTGGTCTCGGAGGGACCACACTGCCAGCGTGCAGTACAAGGCCCTGCATGGGACCCTGGCTGCTTCGCATCTTGGCTCATTCGACTGGCAGAATTTCTGCTGTGGAGAACCCCGCAAGGTACCCCGAGAAAACTATGCAGAGAATCTGAGTGAGTTCTTGGCTTTGGCCTCTGTTCACACGTCCTCTAGCCAAGGGGCTGGGGATTGTGGATGAAGAGGCCTTTCAGCCGCACATGCAATGGAGGCTCCCCATGAATCTGGAGAATGTGCCAGAGAATTCCTGTCCCCTCGTGGAACTGAGGCGCATTGTTAGAAGGAGGCTCTCTCATATCTTCATGCCCTGTCCATGACACATTCTTCCCAACTTTTTGTTTCTGGGAAATCATTTTTTGGATTCATTTAAGGTCACTCTTAAATCCTGGCTCTCAACAAGGTTGGGAGTGGATAACCGTGCTGGGATGTTCACACAGTTACAGGTGACACTTCGCTTTGTCCTGTGACAGCTGTAACCACAAGCACTTAGAGCACTCACTTGTGCCAGGCACTGTCCAGATAAAACCTTGTTTCTTAACTGTCCCTATCACCAGTTTTCAGATAAAAGAGGCTAAGTAGCATAACAAGGCCAAGGAGCAAGAGGTCTCCCAGCCGGTACGTGGCACAGCTGGGCTCCAAACTCATCAACTCTGGCTCTGAAGATTACACCTCACCCACTGTAGTCTGCCTCCCGTGCATTAATCCAGAAAGAGTAAGTGAGAATCTTCTCCGGGTTCACAGGAGCGCTTCCCAAAAGACTGATCTCCTGAGGGAGTGTTTTTCACAAAGATCATCTGATGAAGCAGCCCCTGGCTGCAAACTCTTTTTAAATTTTCATGAACTCTTTGTCTAGTTTTGTACATGATTCCCGGACTCTTTCAGAACTTCATCTCTGCTCCACATCCAGCACTGAATTAAAGATGCATGGTTTTCAGCTTCAAAATACCAGGATAAGGAGGGGCCTCTGAGCACCAGCTCAGCCTCCCACCCACAGACAGCAAGGCTACCCCCCAGCAAATGGAGGACACCAAAGGACAAGCTGGTGTCATGATCAAGGCCAGACAGGGATGGAAGCTTGGAGAGGAAAGCGGAGAGGAGAGGATGGCTTTTTGCACAAGAGGCCAGGCAGGGGCTTGGTAGGAGTGCTTGCTCCCTGACACTGCCGGAAGACCGGTCAGACATTCACCATGGAACCTATCTCCCCTTCTATTTGGCAGGAGTCACCAGAACATCATTCAGGACCCTGTGTCCTGAAAACAGGTTGCCGTGGACTCTCTGTCCTTTGTCCTTAGCCCTGCTTCTCTGCAGTTGAATCAGACCTCTGCAGTTGAATCTGAGCCTGCGCATCAGTTATGGGCTATTTAAAAGGCGTCCTAACTGATCTAATGCAAAGTCAGCCTGGCCTTGACAGAGATGAGTGAACACAGGGGCCATGCCTCTTCTTGGATGAACGATGTCTTCAAATAACCTCTGAGCACTTGCTGCCCAGAAGCCGGAAGCCACCTAGTTTCCTTTACAAGGGGAAACCTTGAACCCTCACCTACCCACTGCTCTTGACAAATATTTGCAAGCAGGGGCCAAAGCTGGGCCAGTGTGGATTGCTCACAGCCTGGGAGTGCCTTATCACCCAGGTTTGGGTGCAGCACCCACTCTCTGTTTGCTCTCTGTACACTTAGTAGGTGGAGTGGGGTGGGAACTGGCTGTGGCTCCGTGATTCACACTAAATCTCAGCTTTCTACGGCTCACCCTTCCTGGGGCCCTCTCCTACCGTGCCACACCCCCACCTTGTGCCTGGCTCCCTGGTCGTCTGAAGCCCGCAAAGCTGCTTCTGAATCCTCTGAGCTCAGCCTGCACCTGTCCTCACCCTGGAGCACCACTCCTTGTCCCTTTGGCCCATTAACCAGCTGAGCCTATCTCTTCCTTCAAAGCTGAATTGAGACCATGCACCAGGTCAGGCTGCTTTGCCTACTTGAGGGCGGACTGTCAGCCTTCACTCTACACTGTTGCTGGGGATGCTCAAGTCCTTTATAAAGAACAGTGTAGTCTTCTAATGTAACCTAAGCACATCGCCCTGTGCTCTTAACCATCTCTAGATGACTTACAATACCTAATGTGATGTAAATGGTTGTTTAAGGAATAATAATAGCATGGGAGGGAAAAGCCTGTACTACATTCAGTACAGATGCAATTTTTTTCCAGGGTATTTTTGATCTGAAGTTGGTTGAATCTGTAGATGTGGATGGAACCTGTGGCTATGAAGGAGTGGCTGGAATGGGCTGCTGATGCACCTGTTTCTTCTGGGCTATCAGCCTCCAGGGTGAGCCATGTCTTATCCACCACCAGTGGGTGGGGCTGGGCACAGGGCCAGAAGATTCCCACTCACACCCATAGTTTCAGGCAGTTCACACCAGCCACAAGAGGGGAGAGATTGGCCACTTGCCTCTTACACGTGAGGAAGTCAAGGCTGGAGAGGCTGAATCTTTTGCCACAGTCCCCTCGTGGGACTCCCTGCAAGTGCTGCATGAGACTCTGCAGAACAAGACATGCACAGAAAGCCTTTGGTCATCCCAGCTGTCACAGCTGCCAGCACGCTTTCCCACTGGGATTCTCACATCAGAGACCAGAGCAGAGGGTGTCCATGCCATGCGTCCATGGCCAGCTGAGACAGAAGCTGTCTCTGATTCTCAGGCTGGTCCTGCCCTTGTCCATGTTCCCTTCCTCCTGCTCCTTCCCTCAGGGTTGCTGTGCACCACCTCAGCCCCCTCCCAGGGTGCTCCCTGTGGCTCCCTCCTGTGGCATGGTGACCCTGTGTTCCATGCCCTGGCCACCTCCTGGTCAGGGTGGTGAGGATCATAGTCTCCTGGGGGCAAAGCCCCAGGGTTATAATGATTTCATCTCTGCTGAGGAGATAACGTCCATATAAGGTGTGGCTTAAGATTCTGGGACAGATGGGGACATCTTTCCTGCAAGAATGTCCCTGAGAAACCAGTAGTTCTGTGGCTCTTTCTGGCTTAGAGTTGAGACACTCTGCCAAAGAATGTGGGGTCTGTGATGACAGAGACATTTTGTAAGAGTCCCCATGAGAGATAGTTTCTCACCGTGAAGACATGATGCTAAATGAAAGTGTGTCAAAAAGTCCATATATTATGTGATTGCCCTCACAGGAAAGTTCAGGACAGGGAACTCTATAGACGGGAAGTAGATTAGTGGTTGCCAGGGACAGGGAGGAAAGCAATAGCTGATGGTTATGGGGTTTCTTTTTGAGATGATGAAACATGTTCTAACATTGGCTGTGGTGATGTTTGCCCATATATGTGAATACGCTAACCACCACTAAATTGTGCAACTTCTGTGGGCAAATTGCACGCTCTGTGAATTACATCTCATTATAGCTGTTTTAAAAAGAGAGACTTTCACCCACCATCTTACTATGAAATCCATTGTTGTAGAAAAATCTTCAAACAAAAAAATGCCCACCTAAATTTTAAAAGGACCTCTTTGCGGGATGAGGCATCCAGGGCCATATAGGGTCCTGAGGTTTGCACACAGGGGGATTTGCCTCATGGGCAGCTGTGGACAGAGGTGCTGACTGAGGACTCCAGAGAGGTGCATGAAAGTGTGAATGCATGTGTGCATGTGTGCATGTGTGTGTGACAGAAAGAGAAAGAGATAGAAAGGTAGAGAAAATGCATTTTCCAAAAAGCCAAAAGAGCCTTCATCAGACTGGAGCAAACACACACCCAAAGTTGAATCTGACTTCAGGCTACTTCCTCCTGCATGGCACAGTCACTAGAGCTCAGAGCCAAGCTTGCATCTGGACCAGTATGCTCCCACCCCGACTTCACCTCATTTTCCTGTCCTTGAGTCCTGACCCTTCTCAGGCCACATAGGGAAGCATGGAGCAAGAAGAGTTTTTAAAATGATGGCACTGCAGACCAAGCACTGAGAGCCATGTCTCAGAGTGCCACATCCACATGTCACCTGGGCATTTATTTACCTGTATGTATTTGACAGTAAATCCCCCCAAAATTGTGATATTACTACTGCAAACTTAAAAACAATACCACTGTCCAATTCACCTTTGCTTGCCTGTGTTGGAGAGAATTCCAAACTGCTGGCTGCACCCTGAACCCTTCTTGCTTGGTCAGAATGACAGGAGAGAGTGGAAGAGAACTGTTTCCCTGCAGCGGCATCCAGTTCCCCAACATCAAGCCTATTGGCCTCCTCTGAGCACCTCTGCCCAACTGGGTTCCGCATGGATTCCATAAAGGGGCGCTCCTCACAATGGGCAGCCCACACTGCTCCTTGGGGATTTGGTTCCTAAGTCATTTTGACTTCGCCACACACATCTACCAGGAGACCAAAGGCCAGTTAATCAACCCAGACAGGAAATGGCTGGCTGGGTCTTCCTGGTGTCCCTCAGGGAGCCAGTTGCCATGAGAAGTTCACCCACAACCACCTGGTCTAGAGAAGTGTCACTTTGCCATTAACCAAATATAACAGTGTTCAAGCTGAGGGCTACAGAGGAGATGCACAGGACTCCCTGGGAAGAGATGAACCAGAAACCTGCCTTAGGTTGACCCCTCTGATGGTCACATGGATGGCTTCGGAGAGGGATGTCCTAGGCCAGTGCTTCTCAGTGTCCACTAGTGGACAGGCCCATTTGACCCTCCCATGTCTCCATGCCACTCTCATGCCTTGTAAATCCAAGTTCTGCTCCGCCAGTTACACGCTCACTTCCCCTTGCCAATGTGCATTAAGGGAAGGGCTGAAGCTGAACGCTGTCTGATTTTAAACTCCACCGTGGGCAAAATCTGCACACACGGCTCCTTCTGCGGCAGCCTAAAGATTCTTATTTGGCTGCTTTTGCTCTACGTTTTGTAAGGTGTAGAGCGTGTTCCCCTACCTCTGCCACATGACTTCAGACAATCAAATGTCCATCAGTGGATGAAGTTTTCTGGTCAGAGATGGCCACATCTGATTTATTCAGCACAACTGGGTTTGGATAAATCCAGATTCTCCAGGGCACTGATTTTTCTACCTAAATGTGACTCTCTGCTGACATTGCCCAGCCAAGAGGCTCAGAGGACACCTGTAAAGACCGTGGTATCTCTGGTCAGCAGATGGGCAGAAGATCCAGAGAGATGGGGTCAGGGTACCAGTGAGTTCTCGCCACAGGGGATGTGGGACCAGGAGCCCATAGCCCCACATGCTCTGCAGTACCCTGGAGACCGTTGGCTGAAGGGTCTTCTGCATACCAGCCCAAGCCCAGTGCTTATGTGGACAGGGGACAAGTGGACGAGGCTGAGCTGACTTCCCACAGGGGTGAAAGGATCAAGGAGAAGTGCAGAAAACCCTAGCGCTAGGGCGCCTGGACCACCAAGGGTGTCAGTGCCCGCCCCTATGCTCCTCTCTGAAAACAGCAGCTCACTGGCCCTGGGGACATTAGCTTCGAGGTTGTCTGGCTAACCTGAGTGTGCCTGTCTCACCCCTGTCCTTAGTCACTGGCAGAGACAGGGTCAACCCAGGCTCTGTCCACCCCAACCCCAATGCTAACGGTCAGAGCATGTCCTGAAATTGGCAATGAGGGGTCAAGCCTCAAAAACAAAAAACTAATAACATCGTGTAGCTAAAGAATTTGCTACCCATCTCATAGAAGAAAATATTTTAACAGCAAAGCAAGTGGAGAAAATAGATCTCAGAAGGAAAGCTAGTCCTTATAACTGTAATATTAGATGCTTCAAATTCTTCTTGGAGTGACAAGTTAACTTTGCTGCCGTCTGCCTTGGTTTCTCCATGTGACAAATTAGTCAATACCTCACTCACAGTGCTGGTATCAGAATTAACTGAGTTCAGTTTGTAAAGTGCTTAGGACAGTGCCTGGTGTGTAAGTGTAATGTAAATATCTGCATGAATAAATTAAGATTCTATTTAAGAAATACGAAAAGCAAGCCAGCAGAGACTTGGAAAAACTGAGATTAGAGGTCTAGCCTAGGGCATTTCAGGAGAGAAAGTCACTTTGGTGAGAACACATTGTCCTATTCTCTTCACCTCCTTCCTGTGTTTTTCTGTTCCCAGGGTCCCCACGTGACCTAGGGGCGGGGCCTTTGGGGGCTTGTGCTCTCCTCCAACAGTGCTCCTGTCTCTCCCCCTGCAGGTCTTCGGGGGCCTGGTGTGGATCCTGGTGGCCTCCTCGCTGGTGCCCATCCCCCTGATCCAAGGCTGGGTGATGTTCGTGTCTGTGTTCTGCTTCGTGACCACCACTACCCTGCTCGTCCTGTATATAATTAATGCCCACGGTGGGGAGACATCCTGGGTCACGCTGGTGAGTTCCGGGTCAGGCTGGTGAGCTCCAGCCTAGCGTATCTGGTGGGGGAGGACGTAGTGGACTCTCTCTCTGCTGCCCTGAGAGGCTGGCTTCTCCAGCCTGGGTGGGGCTGCCCTGTGGATGCCTCCCCACAAATTCCAGGGATGAGCTGGCCCAAGCCTCAGCTCAGATTCACAGGGGCCCAGGGTTCCTACAACAGGGAGGTCAGAAGGTAGAGGCAGGGGTGACGGGTCTGCTGCCCGTTCATATCAGGCTGTTCTGCTTTCTCTCCCTTGACTGTTTTTCCCCGGACAAGCAGCAGCCCAGCCCCTCCCACATCCCCCGGCCTGGCCGGGCAGCTGGCACCAGCCGGGCTGTTTCCATCTTGCAGCATTAAGATCCTGGAGGTTGGCCCTCAGCCAATGGCTCCCCAGCGGTCAGGCCAAACTCACTGCCCAGTCTCCCAGCTGCTACCTTCCAAGCACGGTTGTCAGAGAGGATTTTGAACAAAATTGGCCTGTGGTCTTTCTCTTGTACAAATCCTGCTCTGGGACCCTGGAAAGGGACATGTATATAAAAGATACCTTCAGCTTCTTGGTCCTCTGCCCCCCTAAAAGCCTCCTACTTAGGCTTTTGAAATCACTTCCATAGCTCAGTGGTACAAGCGCCTGCCAGGCAAGCACAAGGTCCTGAGTTCAATTCCCAGTACCAAAAAAAAAAAGAAAGAAATCACTTCCAAAATAGAACTACACACAACTGTGTTTTAGCTCCCTTTTTTGCTTCAAAATTTGCCAGGAGCCAAAACAAACAAATAAATAAATAAAACCAATGAAAACAAAACAAAAAAAACAATGGAAGAGGCCCCGGTCTCTCCCTGCACCAGGCAAGGGGCCCCATCTGAGCCAGGACTGTGACCACATCTGACGCATTCTGGGTCACACCCAGGGTTCACTACCTTCTCAGCTGACCCTGCCTTGAGGGAAAGCAATACCCTTCCTCCAGCCAAGCGTGTACTCTGGGTTCCCAAACCCCAGAAACGCAGCTTAGCTGGACAGCACGGCTCAACCCACCTCTGTGAGGAGAGGGTTGGGGCGCAGGGCTTGGGACTCAAGGGAAGTAGTAGGAAGTAGCAGGAAGTAGTAGGAAGTAGTAGGAAGTAGTAGGAAGAAGAGACCCGAGCCAGGCCCGAGGGGACAGATCGGGCTGATTATATCTCCATGTCTAGTGTCCCTTTCTCGCCATCTCTCTAACACCTGCCCTTTCTGACTCACAGGACGCAGCCTACAACTGTGTGGCTGCCCTGTTTTACCTCAGCGCGTCAGTCCTGGAAGCCCTGGCCACCATTCTCACACGTGACGGTTACACCTACAAGCAGTACCACGAAAACATCTCGGCCGTGGTGAGTCCCCAGCTCCCCGCACCTACCACCCCTCTCTGGAGCTCAGTAACTTTGGAATAAAGTCACACCCTCCCCTCATTTCTGACCCAGCAAAGCTCCCAAGACAGGAAGGTGTGTGTGCTCCCTGGGCCTGGGGCGGGCTGTGCAGCAGGCAGTGTCTGAACAGCAACGGTCATGGAGAGCTTGACACTGTTCCTGAACAAGCCCAACAACCCAGTGGAGTAAGCACTGTTATCCTACCCATGTCACAGATGGAGAAGTAGGGCATGGCCAGCTTGGATAACTCACCAAGATCACGAGTGTCTTCCTCTGAGGCACATAGCCATGGTGTGGGTTGTCTTTTAATGGGATGGACTGAAATGACAGGGAGTGAGAGACTGTATTGTCACAAATGCGTTCTTTCCAGAGTTCTGCAGGCAGGCCCTTGGACCAGTAAGCCCGCTCACAACAGGAAGCATATTTCTAACTGTGGGTAGTGTTCTAAAAATACAAAAATTTTCAGAAAACATGCCTTGGATTTCTAGAAATTGACTTGAGAGCCATCCAGATACGGAGGTGAAAATAGCAACAGACACCAAGTGCCTGCTCCTCTGCCCTGCTGTGCCTCCTCCAGTGGGCAGGGATGGAGCAGAGGCTGAGTAAGGCCCACAGGCGGGCATGGGTAGGCTTTGGAATGGGGCCTCCCAGCAGGAGGGGACTGGGGAACAGTTTCTCAGACCCTTGTCCCTGTGGCCAGTCTTCTGTCCTGGGAAGCCCCACTCTCCCCTTGAGCCCCCAGCCTATAGTCACCTTTACGTGGTCACCTTGGGATCCCTGTCATCCTTGGTGTGCCTCATGGGGTGGGGACTCTCCCAGTGTGGCCGGTTTCTAAATTGTCACCAACCAGGCCGCTTCTTGGTTGCTCTTCCTTGCCTGGGAGCTGCTGACCCACCTTCCCTGCCATCTGTCACATGACTGAGTTTCATCTCCCTGTCTGCACATCACCACACAGCTCTCCCATCCCAAGCTCAGAGCTCCTTTCCTAGCAGACACTGGCAGCACATTTGACAGTCCCCACAGAACTGCTGTGCACAGTAGTAGCAAAATGTAGATGGGATGTAGTTAGTGAAGCGCACTTAGTGAGAAAACCCAAGTTGGAGGTTTTAATGCCCCTGTGCCCAGGGAAGGTCTCTACTTGAGAACCACTGAGCTTAACTGCATTTTCTCTTTTTACTGAGACAGCATACACGTGGGAAGCATATGGGTTGCACGTGTATAGCAGGATGAACGGCCAGGAAGTGCCCATCTGTGTAGCTAGGAGCCAGGTTTGGAAATAGGATACAACAAACAGCTCCCAGAAATCCACCTCTTGTCCTGTTATCTCTGCCACCAGCTGATTTCAGATTTCTAGCACCCAACTGACTATTGCCTCACTTCCCATAATTGGGATCAGAGAGAGTTTTCTTTGATGTCTCGCTTCTTTCCCTCAGCCTTATTTGTGAGATTCATCCATGTGATTGGACATAGGTATAGGTCGTTTATTCTCATTGCTGTGCAGTATTCCACTGTATGACTGTCGCAACGTCTATTTATCCATTCCGCATTGGATTGTGTCCCCATGGTTTGTTAAAGGAGTTGGACAGACATGAGCACACCTGGCAAAGTCAGGAGTACTTGCACCAAAAATTCAGAATGTTTTCAGGAGGCAGATAGATGCAAGCTGAAGGCCCTAAGGTGAAATGTGAACCACATTCAACGTATTTCCATTTCCACTGAGAATGAACTGGATGAGTGCCTGGGGAAGAAGGGGTCATCATTACTCTGCATTTGACTCCAGATCCTGCTCAACCACTACGTGACTTTTGGATGGTACTGGGAGCAGCCACTGGGGAACATGCGAGTCTGGTGTACCTCAGAACCTCTTCTCATATGCCCCTTTGGAAGCATCCACCTTGTGTCGTGTCCTTTCTGTAGTTTTGGTTAGGACCTGCCTCAGAGGCTTCCTCTTTCCTCTGTTGGTGGCAGAACTTCTTCACCAAAGAGGTCCTGGATAATAGTGGAGATTGAATGAGGAGAGCTGGAGATTTCTGGAGAAATCTGGAAGTTTCTAAAACTTACCATGGTGTGCAGTAATGGCAGCAGTTCAGAGAAAAGGCCAAAGCAAGGCCCCGCAAGCCCCCGGCTCAAAATGTCTCCAGTGTGTCATTTCTGTACCTCATTTGAAAACTAGTTTTCTATTTCCTGCTGGGACACCTGAGGTGCTTCTGCGAAAGGTTCTCTTTGGGCTGAGAAGTCTCAACTGATTTTGGGGGGCTGCTCACTCATGTGTGACTGCTCCTTTCTGGACAGGGTACTCTGATGAGTTATCTTGAATTTGTTATTAAATAACTCAGCTGACTCATCCTGTAGCCAATGAGGGCGAAGCATTCGGCCATGCGTGGGGGCAGGGAGAGAGCAGCCTCGGGGAAGCTAGTGTTTATGGGCATTTTCAAGAGTCACACAAGCGTGGCCGCCCCAAATGTTGTTCTCAGATTGGAAATTCTTAACTCCCTGCCCAAGGTCACAAAACCAGGTGCAGCTATTATTGGACTTGGGGGCAGGCAAGCCTGTAAAACAGCCACCCAAAGTGGGGTGGCAGGAGTAGGTGTCCGGGTGAACGGAACCGGTCACAAGTGACCGTTTGCCGCGTCTTCAGGCCTTTGTTCCTAGTTCCAAAAGGCTGATTGCTTCATTCCAACGGCTTCTTCAGGAAGCCCTTCTCGTTCCCCCTCTCTCTTCCTTTCTTTTTCCTTTTTTTCTTTCTTTCTTCTTTCTCTTTGGTAGTACTGGAGACTGAGCCTAGAGCCTTTTCACTAAGCTACATCCCCAGTCTTTTGTAAAATAAATTTTTGTATTTTGAGACAGGGTCTCACTAAGGCACAAAGTTACCCAGGCTGGGCTCAAACTTGTGATCCTCCATCCTCAGCCTCCCAGAGTGCTGGGATTATAGCCATGCACCACCACACCCAACCCACTCCTCCTCCCGCTCCCTGACCCTCACTTCCCATGAAGCTAGGTCCACACCCATACCCATACCCATACCCATCAGGGAGCATGGAGAATTTATGGAGAGCCAGCAAGCCCATGTGTCCATAATCTCACAGCCAAGCACTAGGTCAAGCTAGTGGACATTGGTCTTACTGGCATGAGGAACAGAAGTTTTCTGTGGACAGTCATCGGTACTTGCCTGGGATGCTTTCATGGAGGGGCCTTTGAAGGCCCTCCTCCAGCCAACCAGGCCCCTATGGCACTGTACGACAGCAGGTCATTTTACCTTGCACACTGAGACCAAGGCATCATCAGCTAGGTCACCGGCTGCTGCACATCTGAGCTCCACAAGAAAGAGTGTGTTTGTGTGTGTGTGTGTGTGTGTGTGTGTGTGGACAGTAGACAGCCCTACCTTGCGCCTCCTCCTTCTAATGGTCATTTCTTTGTTTCCAGGTGTTTTCCTACGTAGCCACTTTGCTGTACGTGACCCATGCTGTGTTCTCTTTAATCAGATGGAAGTCTTCATAAAGAGGCAGATTTGAGCTAGAAACCCAGAATGGTGTTAACTCCTCAGCCTGTCTTCCAGCCTAACTTTCTAGAATGCAGACACGCTCTCCATGATGGAAAAAAAGGAAACAAACCAAAAGGAAAAAAGAAAAGGCCACACTGTTTCTGCAGTAGCGTGTTTATCCTCCTATGCCTTTGCCTCAGGGCTTGGGGGCTTGCTGTGTTTAACCTCCAACTGCTGAGCTGTCTTTCTAGAGTCACTTCCTGTCTGTGAAAGGGGCCAATGGGTGTGGGACATAACCTGTGACAGAAGCAACAGTCCCCTGCTGACCCCCGGACCACAGCTTGAGAAGCACCTTCTGGAATATTCCACAGGCTCTTTTGAGCACACCACTGAGGGCATGTTTCTGTCTCCATGGATGTTCTGCATGTCACAGGGACTGATACTCACCCAACTGAGGTTTCCAAATGTCCATGGTGGAAGATGATAACCCTTGGGAATACTTTATAAAGTGCTTTTATGTTCAATACTTTTGTGGGGTATTTTCTGGGTTTTGATTTTAATTTTTTCAGGGTCAGGAACACCATCCTGTCAGCTTTCCTTCTGAGGAATCCTTTGATTTAACCTGAATCCCAAGAGGCAGCATCAAGTGACAGTTCAGATGACACTGTGTGCTCAGCCACTGCCCTCAGAGCTCTGTACAGGGCCACCCCATCCCCCACCCTCCCAGCAATATCTACTGAGACCATTCCCTGCTCTCTGGAATCTCAACAAGGGCCACCCACACCCCAAGACATGGCAGTCTCTGCTCAAGTAGAATTTCCTTAAACTCAAAGAAAGCTAGATGTAGACATTTCCTCTCACACTTTGTAAAGCTGATCCACAATATTCTGGGCCATGTGCTCTGTCTTCCATTCCAGTTCAGCTGGTTTTAGGGATGTCCTTGGGCCACTCCATAGGAAACAAAGGGACCCACTACAGAATGAAGGGATTACAGGGACAGACGGTGGATGTCACCTTTTGAGTATGAGGTCTCTGGCTGAAAGGAGACAGGTTACCAGGACGATTAGGAAGGAAGTTCTGTTAGGAATCTGGGAAACCCAGCTGCTCTGTTTAAAAATGCCCCTTCATCCCAGGGCTCAGGGAAGTGATGACATTCCAGAAAGGGAATGTCACTCCTCCTGCCAGCAGCCAGGAAAGCAAAGATTCAAACCTCAGGCAAAGGATTTAACTAGTCAACTTTTTACTCCCTGTCCAACTTACCAACTGGTTCCATGACTAATTGGATCTTAATGGGGTTTTTGTTTCTTTTGACCCTGCTGGGAATCAAATCCAGGGTCTTGACCACACTGGGCAAGTGCTTTCCCCCTGAGCTGAGTCCCCAGCCCCAAACTGGATCTCTGATAAATTCAGGTCCTCTGTTACCCCAGGATCACTGGTACCAGAACCTAACTACCTCCAGTCAGTCTACTTAACACAGCCAAAATTTCATAGCAAATCATGAGCAAAAGGTTTGACTTGGGTCTTTCTAAAAATATTAAACAAACTTTTTAAAAATAGGAAGTTTGTGTATCTTTAACAAAATTTTCAGCAAGTGTTAAGGACAGTCTTTTTTTTTTCCCTTTGACAAAACTGCCCCAACCAAGCTACACCAAACAAGCACTGCTAATCAGCCTCATTTTGGGAAAGAAGGATGAAAAGAAGGAAAGAAAGGAGGAAGGGAAAAACAGAGGGAGGAAGGGAGTGGGGAGGGAGGAAGACAAAGGAGAGAGGGAGGGAAGGAAAAGAGAAAGAAAGAAGGAAGGAGGACGGGAGGAGAAAGGGAAAGAGGGTGAGGGAAAAAGTTGGCTTTCCCAAGGTTTTCTCAATGTTTCAAATTTTTAATCATTTAAAGAAGCTCATGCTCCTTCATTTTTAAAATCAGCTGCAAACTGATCCAAGTATAAAATCCACTTTAGTCAGACTTGGTAGGTGGTTCTCTGCTGCCACTTTCTCATCCCTTCTATCCCAAAAATTCCCACTTCTCATTTGAACTGCATCCTATTTGAATTGGATGTCAGTGGGGTGTGCACTGCTCCCCCTGCCACTACCCCTTCTCAGCTCCACCCACCCCGTCCCATTGCCCCAGCTCCTGCGCTGAGCACTAAGCTCTGTGCACCCGGTGTTCACGGTGGCCAAGTGTAGGCGCTGGCTGCCAGGGGACCCTACCTGCTATGCACACTGCTCCTCTGGGAACCCACTGCCTGGGGAGGAAGGGGTGGAGATGGAGGACGTATAAGAAGCCTGCTGAGCTATAGCCAAAAGGTACTGGGTCTGTGGAGCGACTGAGCACCTTGCGTGTGCTGACACCTCGGAGCCCTCGAGGACAGGGTTGGTCTCTGCCCCAAGTTCCTGTTGCTGGACAACCCATAGCTTTGCATGGGGCCTCGGGCAAGAGGAGATGCTCTGGGGCATACACTATGTCACCCCAGAGGTAGATGGACTCTCTGTAGATGCTGCCTGGGTGATCGCTTTAAGTTGGATCAAAGGTCAGGCAGCTTACACTCAGTTCACACCTCCATCACCATCTCGCTTGGTGTCTTGGGGAAGCCGCCTAGGGCACCCTGTAGGCACCATATGTTTATAGTGGTGCTGGACTGGAAGCCCTGAGCTTGCTTACTGCTGTAGGGTTGTCTGACACACAGGCTGGTGCTCTGGCCTCTTGAGAAGTGACGTCACATGATGCCAGTGGGCAGGAGCCTGCAGACCACCAGCAGGGCCTGACACAGGCCACTTTGGTGGACATAGGTCCTTGTCACCTTTCAAGAAACCTGGCTGCTCTGAGCTGCTGACTGCTATGGTGCCAAGTTGGGTAGCTCCTGAGTCCTGTTCTGCAGCCCCATGTCCAGCAGATACTGTGTAAAGGGGGTGAAAAACAGGGTGCCTTATACTCACAGAAGAAAAGAGCTAGAGGATTAAGAAGCTGCAAATATCCATGCTGTGACCAAGAGCCAGAGCTTGCAGAGGAGGCCAGACTGGATTCGAGCACTCCACTGTCATCTCCTCCAAGGCTTGGGCCCCGCCTCACACAGGGCCATTGGACTGACCAGACTTCATGGGTCACTGCAGAACACCTCCTGCTCCATGACTCCACCCCTGAGGACACAAGGACATTCAGCGCCTGGCCAGGTGCCAGACGTCACAGGGCCAGCGCTGTGACATGGGCTGCCCCAGCCCACCTGTTCTCCTGCAGGTTTGCCCTCCAGCCTCTCTGGAAACCTTATGGTGGACAGATGCCAGCTGGCGGGCTTCTGGGAGTGAAGCCAGGCTTTTGTGGCCTTTATGACATTGGAGTGGTCTAGCAGGACTTAGACCAGGCAATCGCTTGGTGCATCAGCACCCTTCTTCCTGCTTTCTGTGGCCCTTGGGGACAGTGTCATGGGAGGGGGGACAGTGTAATGGGAGGGGGCAGGTGTGGGGGGGGAGGACATGTGTCAAGGGGTGGGGGCCACACGGTAAGGCAGCTGTGGGTCAAAAATAGCCAGGGCATTTGGAGCTCTCACCTGTCACATCCCTGGCTATGTCACATCCCTTACTTCATGGGCACCCTCCCAGTGGCCTTTCCCATGCAGGACAGGGTGGCCTGGGAAGGGCTCCACCCCGTACATGCCCATCTCCCCCAGTAGGCAATCTCCCCACATCTCGCACTGCACACAGTAGGTCCCATTGGGTCTGCCCACTTTATAGGAACTGGACTGCATCAGCCTTCTAGATCCTAACTCAAAGACCATGGCTTCCCAAAGCATGCAGGTTGCAGGCCTGTTTTGCAAGGCTGCCCACTCGGGGCTGAAGGCCTCCCTGCCTGACCTTAAAAAGGCAGTGAAGGGTTCACGCTGCGAGCCACGGGCTGGAGCGAGCCAGCCTGCGGAGCGCACACAAGGGCCCCTTGTTCCTTGAATCAATTGGGGCCGGTGTGGGGTCACAATGGGGCCTTTCAAGGAGACAAAGCGCCTCTGGCCCGGCTGAGTATCCCTGCACACGTGGGCATCCGCCCAGGGCATTTAAAATAACGCGATTTGGGAAAACAGATTTAAAGTGATTTTCCCCACTCTGCACGATTCAATAGTCTTTGTTACATCTCCATCACACCCAGTTATGGTGGCTGCTAAGAGCTGGGTGTGGGAGGCAGATGCTGGGGCCCCAGCTGGGACCTCATTCTTCCCTCACAGGTGACTGGGATAAGCACAGTGCCAGTCTGTCAGACGGCACCAGAAATGTTTGATGATCACAGGGCACTCAGCTGGCAGGACCTCCTTCCACCACTCACATTCAGCCAGTCCCTGCATGGAGAAGATGCACCAATGCTGCCAGGGCCCAGTGCTGTGTAAAGTGCTTTACTTATTCCTTGTGACAACCCTATGCAGCTGAGTGCTGGTCAGTTTTCTGTTACTGTGACAAAATACCCAAGGTAGCCGATGAGGAAGGTTTATTTTGGCTTACAGTTTCCGAAGTTTCAGTCCATGGTTGCTTGTCCTGCTTGCTTTGGACTGTGACAGCACAATGCGTCATGGTTGGAACATGTGAAAGAGGATGCCTGCTTACCTCATAGCAACCAGGAAGCAGAGAGAGAGAGAGGGGAAGATACTGGGGTCTCAATATCTCCTTCAAGAGCATAGCCCCAATGACCTAAATTCCTTCAACAAGGCCCTGCCTCCTAAAGGTCCACTACTTCCCAAAAGTACCACAGGCTGAGGACCAGGCCTTCAACATATGGCCTCAGAGGGCATTCAAGATCCAACCTAAGGAGGTCCATACCATTTAGAGGAGGTCTCTGAGGCCAGAGAAGTTCAGTAGTTTGCCCAAGGTGACCCGGAAGAAAGGTATAGATTCTGGTTCCAGGGGTCAGTCTTGCCCCATGTCTTACTATAGTGGGGTCCTTGTCCCTCTGGCAGCAGGAGGTGGGGACATATCATACTCACAACACCGACTTCACCAATAGTGAAGGCTCCTAACAGCACATGAGGAGTGGTAGGGAAACCCAATCAGGAGCACAGCCTGGAGGGAAGTCTGACTCAGAAGAGGGAGGCCTGGGCAGGCAAGAAATCCAGAGAGGCCTTCCGTAGGCCCAGGCCACAGGAGAAAGGTTCAGAAGTAGCAGCTGCAGTGATAATTATGAGACTGACATAGAGAATGATCTGGAATGATCTTGAAGGTTCTAGCCAGGCAGATGATGGCTATTTAACTTCTATTTATTCACTGTGCTTCTGACATCCTGTCAGAAACTTGCATTGATAGTTTTGATTTCTAACTTCCCATGACATTGTTAGAAATAGCCTCACCTAGTAAACTCAACTTCAGTCCTTTGGGAAGGAGGCTGTCATGGCTGAGGTCTAAAATATCCCCCACAGGGTCAGGGATATAGCTCAGCAGCACAAGCCCCTGCCTGGCAAGCACAAGGTCCTGAGTCTGATTCCCGGTACCAAAAACAAAAAACAAAAAACAAAACCAAAAGCAAAAAAAAATAAAATAAAATATCCCCCACAATCTCATATGTTTGGAAGGTGATTGGACCATGGCGCTGTGTTCATTAATTATGATGTGTCAACTTGACTTGAGTGAGAACCACCTAGCAGATTAGCAGAGCTCTGGGTGTGTCTGTGGGTGAGTGAGGAGGGAAGACCCACCCCAAGCATGGGTGGGCCAACCGGCACACCTGGCACCTGGACAGAATAAAAAGGGAAAGAAGAAGAAAGTCTTCCCCCTTTTCTTTGCTATTGCCTTTGGACATTCATCTCCAGTTCTTTCAGGCTTCCATGGTAGACTCTTCAGCCGTCCAGCCCAGACTTTGCAGCTTTCTACCATGGAATCGGATCAAAGAGTACAGTGAGCTATAGGTCTTTAAGCATTCCTGGATCCTCTGGCTTTTCAGCGCATATATGGCTATTTTGGATTCTTCCCACCCTACCCCTCACCCGCCGATTCTTCAGGTAGCCATTGGATTCCCCTTCAGATCCTATAAACCTACCTAGTAAATCCCTTCTATAATTATACATATATTTCATGTTGATTCTGTACCTCCAGTGAATCTTAACTAATACAGAGGCACTGTGATGATCAGTGAGCTCATAGCTAATGTGCTACTGGGAGATGAGGTCTGGTGGGAGGTGTGACCTGGAAGAGTGTATCTCCCTCCCCTCCCTCACTCTTTCCTCTCTTCACTCTCTACTTCCTGACCACCATATGGTGAGCAGTTTCCTCCACCCTGCCATTTTTGCCTTGGAGCCAGCTAACCATGGACTAAACCCACTGAGATTGTGAGTCAAAATAAACTTCTTCTCCTTTAAATTGTGGGTATCAGGTACTTTGTCCCAGCAACACAAAAGTGACTAAACAGAGGCCATTACTGCCAAAGTCCACCAGCCACCAAGAGAAAGGCACCATTAGAGTCTGAGAGGGTCAACATCACTGGACTAGACTCCAGGGTTTCCTTAATCACCTGGTCTGTGTAGACAGGCCTGAGCAGCCTCGTTCACCCAGGGATAAAAGCCCTGCAGGGGGTTGGAGGAATGCAAAGGCCCTGAGAGGACAAGAGACTCACCTAGAGCCCGGGGCTAATTAGTGCCAGATCTGTCATGCAGTCCTCACTGCCCCCACCCTCTTTCCCCAGCCACCCTGCTGGTCTCCCGGCCCCTGCTGCCCTTCTCTCTTAAAACACTGAGCAGTTCTCTGCACTGAGGCAGATGAGAGGGGTAGGGCTGAGTCAGAACAACTAATGAGCCACACTGAAGATGATGCAGAGGTGGAAAGAGCCCACAGAGGCTCCCCCAAAGTCTATTACCCATGAGAAATCTCACCCTCAGGGCCTCCAATCCCAGGGTTACAACCTGTGGCAATCTTGTGGATCACACAAAGCATCCGTCCACCAGGGGCTGAAACTAGGGGCAAGACTGTCCTTGCACATCACACACAAATCACCCAGAACCCTCTAGGGCCACTGTACCACGAATGTGGATGAGGATGAGGATGAAGAGGAAGAGGAAGAGGAAGAGGAGGCAGAGGGGCTTCCCAGCTTATACCATGCCCAGCTCAATGCCACCTCCTGCAGGGAGTTGTACCCACACCTGTTCTTCTCCGGCTCCTGAATATCTTGCCTCCACACACACTATTCCACCCCACATCCCAGACATCTCACTGCGTCCTGATTGGCTGGGCCTGATTCAGCCCCAAGAAATCCAATTTCTCGTCTGCACGGTGGAAAAGATAGCCAAGCAGACATCTCACTGCGTCCCTGTCAGTTCTCGCCCACTGACACTCCTAGCAAGACAGACAGGTGCTGGAAAAGTAGAGAACCCATCCCAGGCCTGATGGTGGGAGGGGGAAGAGGAAGTGAATTAGCCCGAGGGCCCATCCTGTGACTCATTTTTGTCCCCAAAGCCATGAAGGGATGGCCTCCAGGAGACACAGGTGGACAGACTGCATAGTTTCACGGGTTCTCACATCTAAAATGGGGTTGGGGCCTCAACTCAGCCTGTGCCCTACCTCAGGCAAACAATGACAAGAATGCACAGGAGACAGCACGCCCAGCTGAGCCAAACTGGGGCCAGATGCCCCGATAGGGCCTGCCCTGCTTTTCACCCTCCTGCCTGAGCAGCGTTCTGGCCCCCTGGCTTCTCTGTCCTGAGGGACAGAGAAAACCACCATGCAATCATTGTTGGGCTCCTCCGACGCCTCCCCTTCAGCTGGACATCATCCCCTCGTATGTTAAACTTGAGATCTCAAGCGGCCAGTGTGTATTCTCCATAGGATGGGAGCTTAAAAGTGCCACCCATTTTCTTTGCTGTCACCTTGTGACAGTCCTGCTAGGTAGACGCTGCTGTCACCTTGCAATGGTCCTACTAGGTAGATGCTGCTATCTTTTCCACCGTGCAGACGAGAAATTGGATTCCTTGGGGCTGAATCAGGCCCAGCCAATGTCTCAAGTGGCTGAGCTAGGCCCTGTCACATGGTAGGTCACCCAGCAGAAGTGTCACCCAGACTAACGCATTCTCATTTATGTTCCCATTTATGTCCCCACTGTCACCCTAGTCCCCAGGGTCGGCTGGACACGGGTTCTCACCCGGCCTGGCTCCCCATTAGTCTTGAAAGGCTACTGCTTCCAAAGTAGCTTGCATTTTAGCCAGAGACCATTCAAAATCTGCAAGGGCGCTCTCATGGAAGATGTGGAGGTGTCTGAATGGATTTTTAGAGGTTTGAAAGGCAGCAAACTAGAACTCACAAAATGCTCACTGCAGCCCAAACAGG